CGTCTATGCTTCCGATTTCAGGATTCCCACAATATAATCAGCCATACTCTCAGGTGCCACCTAGAATATTTCCTGGAAGTAAAGTAAAGCAATTTCTGAATCAAACTCAACAATATAAACCCCGTTACATAAAATTTTATATTTATTTACAGCAAATCAAATTTTATATTTACTTACGGCTAATTTAATTATTCAAATTTTATATTTTTTTTACAGCTAACTATATTTTTTTGACAGTCAAAAATAATTGCGAAAAATTGATTAATTACAGGAAAAATAATTATGGCAATCGGACAATTATTGTGCCAAAAATAGCTTGTTAAATAAAAATTTCCAACAATTAATATTAAATTAATGAATGAAACAATTAACTTAATCAAAACAAATGATAAGCATTTTAGATATATTAAAAATTATCGATTCCTATCAATTCTATTATCAATATTGCGAATTTTAATTTAGGTGATATTTTCAAATAATTTATCTTAATTTTTGCTTCAATGAAGAAGTATAGAAACAAATGATAAGTATTTTAGATGTATTAAAAAATATCAATTCCTATTAATTCCGTTATCAATATTTGCGAATTTTAATTTAGATGTAAATTTCAAATAATTTGTCTTAATTTTTACTTCAATGATGAAATATGGAAAAGAAAGCAAAATTAGGAGCATTTTATCATATTTATCATTTCATCAATAAATTATTTAGAGATTGGTAAAATCAAAATGATTCGATAATGTTGAAAATTTTCGATGATAAATAATAATTTAAAAAGGAATGTAGTAAAATGCACTTTAAGTTTAAAGAGAAACGACAAATGATAATAAATGACAAAAATGAAAATTGAATTTCTAAGTTAAACATTTTCTTAATAAAGAATTTGCTAGAACAAATTTAATTCTTTTCAAAAATAGAATACGACATACATTATTAGCTTTTTAGTAATTGAAATTGCAACATGAATTTAAATTAGGATGATGAAATTAGTGCGAAAGAAATAATTGCAATTAATTTTGCTATAGTATAATATTAAAGTAATTGATGTAAAGAATGATTTAATAAATCATAATCATTTATCTCTTTCACATGTATTTATCATTTATCTTGAATTTGTAATATGAATTCATTTTTTAATGCAACATAAAATTTTGTTTAAAAATTAATCTGCTATATGGTAATTTTTTAAATTAGAATTGCTAATTTATTCTGTCATTAATTGAATCCTTTCAGGAATTATATTTGCCAATTTAACCAACAAACCAGTAATGATATATTTGTGAAGAGGGGGGAGGGAAAAAAAGAACAATTTCTTTAATTAGCATTAACAAAAATTTCATCATTATGATAATATCATAGTTGCATAGCAAAATTTCATCATTATAATAATATTATAGTTGTATAGCAAAATTTCATCACTATGATAATATCATAGTGGCATAGCAAAATTTCATCATAATGATAATATTATAGTTGTATAACAAAATTTCATCATTATGATAATATTATAGTTGCATAACAAAATTTCATCATTATGATGATATCATAGTTGTATAACAAAATTTCATCACTATGATAATATCATAGTTGTATAGCAAAATTTCATCATAATGATAATATTATAGTTGTATAACAAAATTCCATCATTATAATAATATTATAGTTGCATAAAAAAATTTCATCATTATGATGATATCATAGCTGTATAGCAAAATTTCATCATTATGATAATATCATAGTTGTATAGCAAAATTTCATCATTATAATAATACTATAGTTGTATAGCAAAATTTCATCACTATGATAATATCATAGTGGCATAGCAAAATTTCATCATAATGATAATATCATAGTTGTATAGCAAAATTTCATCATAATGAAAATATTATAGTTGTATAACAAAATTTCATCATTATGATAATATTATAGTTGTATAACAAAATTCCATCATTATAATAATATTATAGTTGCGTAAAAAAATTTCATCATTATGATGATATCATAGTTGTATAGCAAAATTTCATCACTATGATAATATCATAGTGGCATAGCAAAATTTCATCATAATGATAATATCATAGTTGTATAGCAAAATTTCATCATTATGATAATATTATAGTTGTATAACAAAATTTCATCATTATGATGATATCATAGTTATATAACGAATTTTTAATAAGAAGAAATTTTTATTTCAAATTTCCATTCATTTATTTAATGCTAAAGAGAATTTCAATTTTTCGATAAAAGACTAAAAAGTAAATTTTCCAAAAATCACAAAAACTAATTTATTTCATTTGTAATTATTTATTTACGAAATGCAAGCATTTCTATGATTAAAATTTCAATTTAAAACTCTTATAGTTCACTCTTTTTACATTAATTTTAAGCATATTTTAATTCAAAAATTCATTTTGTTAATTTCAACTAAAATCATTTACTTAGTACTGATTGCTTAGTGGTACTTTAGTTTATTTTGAAGGGATCAGAATATGATTTATGTAAATGATAAATGGTAAATGATAAAAGCCTTTTACTTAAATACTCGATCAAATTGTGTATAACGAAATTTTAATTAATTAAAAAATACATAGAAATTATATAGAAAATATATAGAAATTTATTATATAGAAATCATTAGTAGAAAAATTATCAGTGAAAAAACATTATATAGAAATTATTAGTGGAAAAATTTTTTGATTATATAGAAATTATCAGTGGAAAAATTTTTTGACCATATAGAAATTATCAGTGGAAAAATATTGATTATATAGAAATTATTAGTGGAAAAATTTTTTGATTATATAGAAATTATCAGTGGAAAAATTTTTTGATTATATAGAAATTATCAGTGGAAAAAATTTTTGATTATATAAAAATTATCAGTGGAAAAATTATCAGTGAAAAAACATTATATAGAAATTACCAACGGAAAAATTTTATCAATGAATAATATTTAAATATTATAAAAACGAAATTTAATGAAATAGGAAATTAAGGCAAATAAAGGTATCGTCGGTATCAGATGTATTTTTCACGAATAATTCAACAAAAATATGTGTCGTATGTTTTAGATATCTTTCAAAATATTTGAACAGTAATTTAAAATATAACTTTTATCCTCGGAGATATTCAATTACGTCGTAACTGAATGATTACAATGAAAATTTAGTATTGAAAATAATACGTTAAGCAGAGAATACTTGATTTGTCAAAATAACTAAAAAATATTTTAAATTTAATTAGACTAATTGATAAATACGATAAGTTAAAATATGGAAGAATATAATTCAAAAAATTATTCATTGCATATTATTGATTACCAATAAAAAATAAAACAAATAACTTTCAATTGATTAATGCTTAATGTAAATGCTAAAGAAAAGTTTGTTAATGATAAAATGGATGAAGCTATAAGCAAATACTCTAATATTTTCACTTTTTGCAAATATAAAGGTATGATGATGATGTATGATCGATTTTTCTGTATTTTATTTCATTCCGTGCTGTTTTTTTTTTACAGTAATACAATGAACAAATTTTAAAAGTTTGAATTAATTAGAAATTTGATTTAGCAGAAATAGTAAACAAACATATACATATAAGATTTTAGCATTATCCAAATATGTTTTACATGTTACACGAATCATAAAACTTCTACGATCACGGTAATTAACACCATAGTGATATAAAATTGATTGTTAAAAATTTACAGCAATCATGATTCCATTACTGCTTACTACAAGTTTTCTGTTTTGCTTTCTCTTTGATGCAAAAATAATCACGATTTCATCATAAATTTTATATTTTTTAAAAAATGCATCAAACAAACAGCCATAGTTAATAGAAATTTCTGATTAAAACAACCTAAATATTTCCAACTAATTAAACTTCAAAATTTTTGCAGAACAGCTTCCACAGATCTATCATTAAAATTCTGAAATAATTTTCTACTGATAGATAAACGTCGAAGAAAGAGATTGTAAAGTGATTATGAATGAGTAGTGGAATTCATGAGTATAATACGCACACAAGACATATCCATAAACTTTATTATTTCATTTCAAGTTGCCGCTCAAAATATCAGTAATCAAAGGACCAGACAACATAAACCTGGGAATAAAAAAGTGTACAATAAAGATGACAAATGTGGACACTTACAAATTGGATTTTCCTGTAAAAAATTCAGTTTTGAAAAAATTTCCAGTAAACTTCTTTCAATTTTTTCGCATCACTTGCTTTTTTTTCAACTTATTTGCTAGCGTTTCAACGTTATCTTCGATTGGACTGGCAACAACTTTATGTTTCCGCTTCTCTTCAACCTGCAGCAAGGTAAATAAATATGTGTATTTTGCATTTTCTTTCCAATTATTTTACATAATCGATTGCTGAATTTCCTAGCTCGAAATGATTTGTTTTCGCTAACAACAAAACATTTGTATTAAAATCTAATAACAATTAGATTAAAACACTCCCCAACAATATGGGAACATGATAACTTCGCATGAATATATGCAAAAGTTGCTCTAAAAAGATAAAAATATAACTTAGCATGATAAATACATACAAGAGTAAATAACATGGAATGGAAAGCATTCACTTAACTCATATGATTTTCAATTCTTTTTTAAAGTTAAGTGCCTCCTCAATTTTGAACGCACAGAATGAACCTCACGTTCACTACAATATAAACTAACTACAGCTAATGTCGCAGATGAAAATTTCAAAAAACATGGAAATTTAAAATGAAATCTGAAAATACAAAAACATAACCTGTCTTAGAGCGAGTTTTGATGATTTGAACAGAGGATGAGATTGATCAATAGCAAAAGCACTGTTGCTATACAAAGCTTTGAACCTTAACAAACAAACAATTACTAGTTCTGTCTTATAGAATGAACTTGACGGCTTCCATGCCTATTGTTTCTGACATGGATTACAAACCTTGTCACTCTTACAGAATGCATGGATGAAATAGCGCTAATGCAATGATGAAATGAAACTCCTAAAATCTGAGGAGCGAAAAATTAAAAGCTATGAAATATTCCTAAACTCTCAAAGAAAAAATCACCAAAATGGGTAGTTAACAGATCTTTTTCTTGAATTGATAAAAAACTTTGACATATTTATAAAAAACATGAAGGATATGACATTAGGAATATAATGAATTTGTTAAAGAAATTACCTTTCATCATCGATATAATCTGATTCACTACTTTTGATACGTTTTTTCAGCTTATTTTTTGCAGATGGCTTAGTAACATTTTCAACAGCATTTTCAACCATTTCTGCCTTCTGCTTTTTCTTCAGATCAGCAATCATAGCTTTTCGTTCCTTAAAAATGATGACAATTACTGAAACTTTATAGTAATTCCAGCCAACTTCTTAATTAAGACTACAGAATTATAGATGGAATCATTAATAACTTGTTAAAATGCATCCAGATATTCTGATAGTTGTTTCTATATCCAATTCAAAATCGTTTTATCATTTTATTAACAGTCATCGTTTGGGAGAGAAATAGTTACCAATGCAATTAATTGACATAGGCTTTCCTAGATATGACTTGAAAAGATAACCCACTCTGCGTTTCGCTTTCCTCTTCTCAAGATATTTTTCCCAAGGTGTCGGCTCACCACATTTTTTCTTTTTATTATTCAAAATCATATCATCTGTCATTTCTACATCCCACGTTACTTCCATCACCGGATCAGCTTTTTTTAAAGCTTCTGTTTCCGCTTCTTTTAGTAACACTATATTTTTTCCTGTTTCACTGTTCTCTTCGTCAGATGAACATGGCGCCAATAAATGCCTATAAATTTGAGAACATGAAACTATTAATGTATAGAATCGAAAATGAAATAAATTTGTAAAATTTAACTCTAATACTAAAAATCGTCCAAAATGCAAAACTCGATCAAAAACTAAAAAGGAATATTTTTATTTGAACATTCAACGGTACTCACTGGACTTGATCAAGATCTGCATCTGGAAGAAATGCATCCTGTTCTGCTTTGATACGTTCCGGATCTGTTTCATCCCACGTGAGTTTAGCAGACGACTTCGATAAAGCTGCACTTTCAAAAATCTTGGGCTTAAATGCATTGAAATTGATATCTTCTTCAGTAACCCGCTCCTTAATTGCATTATTCTGAAAATATTTAGCACTCTAATAATAAGTATGTTCGGCAGTGATGAGACTTTACAATTTCAGTGTCATTGCAATAAATTCTTGAGCTACTAGTTTTTATGAAACTAACTTTTAACTTCAAGATTTAAAACAAACTTCAAAGGTCATATCATCGGGTATAAAGCGGAAATCCAAACGTATAGAGCTACTTTCGAATTCAACACCATCACATGCTTCATAGAGGTAAGAGGCTGTTTCCAACCCATCGCACTCAATAACAGCATAATAATATCTCATCCTTTCCAATTGGTAAGCTCTCATTGCTTCACGAGTTTCTCTGCAAGGTTATTGCATGGCTATTGCATGTACATCTGCCAAATATTGTTAAACTTAGGAAAATATTCTGAGAAGACTCAAGTAAGCCAAAAAAACTGCAAAGTGTCAGGCTAACAGAACTTCAAAGCGGCTAATGTATATGAGATGAAGGACTAATAATTTATCCTTCTTTCTTTGAGTTCATACCCTACAACAAGAAAGAGTTAGAATTTCATTACAGCATAGAGAATCAATCATTCTATACTTAACCTACCATTCCCATTCTACTCTGAAAAATTGGAAGACGAATAACTTACTCATCCATTTCTTCCGTATCCTCAATTGGTTTTTTTAGCTTAGTCAATTTGGGTCCCATACGTTCTTCTTCTTCTAAACGCTTCTGACCAAAATCCGATTTATATATTGTCACTGATCGGATAGCTAAAAAAATTCTTTATTTATCTAGCAATGTTCCCCAGAGCATATACAAAACAATCTAGAAAGACCTACCAGCTGGTGCAGGTGGTTTGAATGAGGATATCATAACAAAAATATCAATTGCCGAAATTCGATCCCACTCCATATTGCACAAAGCTAAACGATGAGATGCCCACTCAACTCGACGAGCATCCCTATCAGTTTCACCCCAGTTATGCGTCTCTTTTTCTACCTGAACCACTTTTTGGATATTGGTTAAATTGGTAATGGATATTTCGTAATAAAGACTAAGTTAAACAAGGCTATCTTCGCCTTTGATAGTTACCAGGACTTTCGCTTAATGAGTAATTTCTAGACAATGAATGAAAAAAATTTTTAGCCCTTCATCGTTCCTTCCTTTCCTCGCTGAATGGCAACAAAATACTAGAAGATGAATGGGTAAAAAATTATAAATGCACATATATCAGAAGCGACCAGAAAAAAACACTAGCAATAGCTTAAATAGCAAAATAAGATGTGAAATTTTACCACTAAAGTGGCATAACCAAAAACTTACTTCTTCCAATTCCCATTCGGAAGATGAATCTTCGTCACTAGATGTTATGTTACCATTCCCGCGAGCTAAATCAATTTTAATTTCCTTGTCCTCTTCTGACTCAACATCCACACTACCATCACTTGACAATTCATACAACACATTTAAATCGTTTTTTGGTCTCAAACTGACATGTCGACCGCGCATATCGACGTTACTTTTTGACGCAAATTTTCTACTTGTCAACATGTCTTTAAACCTGAAAATTCCGAAAGTTAGAAAAATCAGAAATCGACGTGAAAAACATATCTTTACATACGTTTCAAAAAAGTCTAGAATATAGCTGCTAGCGAGATCAAAAATTAATAATCTTTACGTGAAGGATAATAATAAGACGAAAGAAAACAGGGAAATGTTTTTTGGAATTCATCAAAATAAGATTAAACGGTCAATAATAAGCATTTTTGAGAACTACCAGCCACTGCATTTTACGTGGACGTATAGGACACTATACAAATAGGTGGCGTCATTATGTTTTTTTAAAAAATTTTGCCGTTAACGATGTTTTAAAATTGCTATTTTAACACTCTTCATTGATCTTAATGACGTACAATTTATGCTTTAAAAGAATGCATCCGAAAAACTCTTAAATTAGCGCGAAGGAGTAAATCTACAACACCGCAAAATGAGAAAATATAACATAGAACTAAATGTCAGAAAAGATACCTTTCGTCGATCACTACTTTCCTTTCCTTTCGCGGTAGTGCATCAAAACGTGGATCGTTCAAAACTGTCTTAAATCTTTCGTCATCCATGTTTCCCTTTTTATTTTTCTTTTTATTTCTTATCTTCTTTGGCTCCATGTTGAAAACGCTACCTGCTCGTCTGAAAAAACACGAAACATTTCCATTATTCTAAAATGAATCGACAACTAACTTTCAAAGTCGAACCATTGATAATTGTGTGAAATTACACCAAAAAGACAATATTGTCAAAATACTATGGGTGCTATTCCCGGTTCCTATTCGATTAAGCAGTTAGAAAATACCTTAGCATCAAAAAATATTAGTTATTTTCTAATAAAAAGATATAATTTAGCAGCAAGAACTACGGTTCAAGCATTCTGGAATATCATCACCCTTGTGCTAACATTTACCTAAGAAAAGTTCGCCTATAAGCAAAAAAAAAAAACAATATTTCCCGCTAATACATAGGATACTTCGCTTGAATATAAATATCATCACCCTTGTGCTAATTCACCCTTGCCCGAAAGTCAATTAAATCTTGTATCTCCCAAAAAACAAAACTGCATATTCCGATCAATCAGATTCAATTAATCGACTTCGAAATAATATCCAGAGCTTTCCTGTTTTAAGGAACACACTATATCTCATTTCACGCCTAAAAGAAAGAAATACTACACACACCATTACATTTTAACTTCAATCAACATTCTTTTCTTATCCAATTTGCTGAATATTAGGAACGAAATACCAATCAACATTATAAAGATAGATATTTATCGAATAAAATCAATCAAATTTGTCTCACAAACGATGAATGATTAAAAACAGTTTATTCAGAAACAAAAGAGACAACACATTATTATTAATAATATCAGTAATGTAAAAGAAACAATAATATTAATAATAATAATAGTAAATTACAACAAGGAAATCGATGCATAGTACTACCCAAACAAAATTTGTAAAAATCATCAAAATTTACCTAGAATGTCCCGATTTTTAACGTACTCAGAAACCTATCGAATTTTGATAGTTAAAAACTACCAAAATATAGAAAACCATGATAATCATTTAACTGGTACATTTCGCAAGCTAGGCGCTAGTAATGGTGACACTCCATCAACCAATAATGGCTGTCCTTTATAAACAACTTGGCCTTCACAATTTACCTTCAAATCGGGCGCAACACCTTCCCAAATCTTCTTCTTCGGATTTAGAATAGGATCCGGTCGTCTTTTATATCCTTCGCAGGTTACCGGCTGTCCAGGAATGCAGTTTTCATCAAATTCGATTAGCTCAACTTTTTCAGGAGTAGAAGCGCACAGAACCATCCCCTGCGATTCGATACCACGCATTTTCGCTGGCTTCAAATTGCAAACACATATCACAAGCCGATTTTGCATCTGCAACAGGGTTTCCATAAATCCTACAAGAAACGCAATCCGCTCTCATGCTTAGAGCAAATATATAAGCTTGCAACTGATGTATGTGAAAAGATGTGTACAGTTTCAGTCTTCGCAACTGATTAGTGTAGCGCATATTTTGAATTGAGGTTGGAACTTTGGTCCGTCAGAGTTTTCTAAAAAAGGATTACACTAATCTCTTCTTCATCCCATTCAATACACTCACACAGTGCTCAGACTGCAGCTAATTTTTAATTTATATCGCTTTTATAAATAAAAAATACGAGCCAAATAGATGAATTACCTGTTCAATAGGAATGTGTCGTACAAGGCCAGAGATAACGGTGCGGGGTTTATCTTCACCAACATCCATTTGTTCAACATATAAACTATCCGCATTTGGATGATTTTCTGCTTTCAAAATTCGGCCAACTCGTAAATCCAAGCGACCAATATCAACTACATCATCAACCTTCACATCTGTATTTCAATAGAAACATAAAGTAGATTTAAAAAAATTATTTGACTAATATGATAGTATCAAAACTTAAACTTATCAATGTATTCTATTTAAAGATGTTTAAACGATAGGTTAGCAAGGTCTACCACAGTGGTGGAAAGTGGGAACGAAAGTGTAGACAGGTTTGAAATCATCGTATGGTGGAACCTATAAATTCTCTCTTGAAAGATAACAAATAATCATATAAATAGTATACCAAAATAAATTAAAGAACTCAGTTATTAATAAAACAATTTCATTGCCACCTAAACATGGTTTTACACCACGCACTTTCAAACCATTCCATAGCCGGCTTACATTTTTGTTCTAATTTTTACTAAAATACAAAATCTTCTCTTATAAAGTAGAATTAGAAAAACAACGAACCTCCATTATTTTCGCTTCCACCTTTTTTACTTTTTGTGTCTTCGTTTTTATTTTTTTTTACTTCGCTCCGTAAAGCTTTCACTTCATTCACATTCTGTTTATTCATTTTTTCCGTTTGCGTCAATGGGGTTGTATCATTGCAATCTTCCGCAGGAAAGCATTTCTTCTCAAACTTTGGAATATTGTAGACTTGCTTTACTAAAAATTATCTGCATCTAATTACAATCGAAAGCTTTCTTAGAATCTAGAAAAAAAAAATTCAGCGTTTTATTTTCTGCTTTTCGTGAAAATAAGTCAATTGATACAATAAACGATGCTGAAGAAATACGATAAGTGAAAATGCCACTGTGAGAGAGTATAACAGGAACATATGAAGAGATCAACAGTTTCCTTACGTATTATTAATTCAATTTCAAATGAACTGCCAAAATATAAGATAAAGACCTGCATGATCAACTTCATTTATATGTTGAGCGTGATTTTAATTAAGTAAAACCTTGTCATAAATATTAACGCTATGAAACCGACAATCTAGTAAAGCACAACAAAGATCCTTCACATTAAATATAAAAAAGCAAGAAACAAGACTCCTCATTTTCTATGAACTCCTCAGCATTACAATTAAAAATGATAGAGAAATTTTTAAATATACAAATTTTAGCAAAGCTGAACACCTGCAAAAAAATTTTGAAAATTAGACTAACTTCCACCCAATGTTTCCAGTTTGATTAATTCTGCCTTCAATTGTTCAATTTTTGCCCTTAACTGGAGTGTTTGCTCTTTCTGTTCCTGCATTTTCACTTTTTCGAACTTTTCTACTGAAATTGCAATAAAATATGAATATTAAGCTGAATTTTTTTCTTCCATTATTGCAAGACAGAAAGGGAAAAGAATTGAAAAAAATTACTTCCTTGTTCAAGCTTCATATTTGCGGTTTTCAATAAAGAATCAATTTTTTTTTGATTGGCCAGTAGTTTCGAATGAAGAGACGATGATGCCATATCTATAAGAAAAAATGAATGCTTTTAGAAATAATTATGGAAATCTCTATAAAACAACATTCTATCTCCCTAAAGAAAATACAAACTCAGAAACAGCTTTCCTGAAATTAGCTTACCTTTTTGCTTATCGCTTATCTATCTTTTTCGACAAAATTCAGTTACCCTTCCAATTTCGCATACCTAACTTCCTTGGCGTATTTTCTCTAATATTCCTTTTAGCGAACACATAAAAATTTAATTTTTTATAAACACATCCTACAATCCCTCTTAGTTCCAATTTTTACCACATATGAATCTATTTATGTGAAAGAAAAAGGAGAAAGCGGCTCAAATATAAATAATGCATAAAACGAACATTAATTTCAAAGAAAAAAGGCTAGTTTTTAATATTGCAGATATCTCAAACAAATAGAGGAATAACTTACTAAAAGAATTCGTAAAATTAATTGTAAATTTATTTCATTTTAAACTAAGCATTGCTTTGCTTTTTTATTGAAGTCAAATGCAATAGTAGCAATAAAAGCAGCAATACTGCTAAACCTACCACCGCTACCAACATGATGATAGGTCATTCTAGCGATCTGACCTTTAATCAATTCTCCATTATTACCTTTCTCTTCGTTCCTCGCTTTTTTCTTATCTACTATTTCCTTTTTCTTCATCTGTTCATCAACTCTTGCCTCACCGACACCACCAAATCTTTTTTTGAAATCATCAATTACATTTTTTTCCATCTTTACAAAGAGCGGTTTGGGCTGCAAAAAAAAATCATTTAATCCATTAATACTGGTAGACTAGAAAGTTAGTTTTCCGGTTTGTACCGATTACTACTTCCTTCCTTCCTTTTTTTCATGGAATTTGAGCACTTTGATGTTATTTCCAACAACAGAACATATTTCGGAAACTGTGATAAACCCCATTATATCGCAAACTTTCAACGAAAGAAATGTTATATAAAGCACATATTTCTCATAAACACCAACACTACTTTGCGATTTGCACACGCAGTATTCTGAATACGTGAATGTACTTTCCCGAATATTTTTTTTCATGGTAAAAAAAAGTAAACATCTCATTCATGGAATAGATAAGTATTTTATTACACATCATTACCCTCCCGGAATCTCGAGATCAAAAAAAAGATATTGTCGTCATATATTTTACAATTTATCAATTAGTTTACGCAGACAGTTAAAGCCTTTTTGTATTCAATTTATCAAAAATTGAAACGATTTTGTTAGTCTCAGAGGACATAATTATGATAAGCGGTAGCATCTATGTGTGCATACATAATTTGACTAATGATCATTGATCAGATGTCTCCTCACAATAAAACGTGTGCTATATTTCATATAATTTTAGGAAAAGAAATTTATGATATTTATTAAAGAAATTTTTGATAATTGATGATAATCTTAAGTAATACAAAACAATGTCATATAATGGATCGCTTCTCCCCTCATTGTACCATTATTTTCATTGGAATTCTCATGTCAGGAAGAGCAAAAAACAAAATCTTGTACCTATTTCACCAAGATCACGATATCAATGTTATGAGGATATATATTGAAATATAATGAATTAAAAAAAGGAAACAAAAACGATTTTCATTATCAAGAGATACAAAAATTATAAAAAAGCAAAACTAACTTCGCCAATTTTATGACCAGGTTTTAAGAAAGCAATTGGAGTGCTTGGCAGCAAAGCCAGTGCCGGATGACCACATTGTTCCCGAATCTTTGCACTAATGGACGGCATATAGGGATAAAGCACAACAGCAATTAGATAAGCTAAATTTGCTGCTATACCGATTACAGTACCTGCTCGTTTCCTGAAAATAATCCTTTGTTAGAATAAGCACACACCTATGTTTCATTTTCTCTCTTAATCAACCCGATTTGCTCAACTCTTATTGTTCATCTATTTATACTTAACGATTTCCTGTAACTTTGCTGCAGACACATTTATTTCGTGCTCAGCTAAAAAACAATTTGCTGTAAAATTGCAAATTCTATGAAAAATATTAGCTTCCAGTTAAAACAAAATATTTGTGTATATTTTTTTTTTCTTCAACTCTATGTTTACTATGGCAAAACTATGCACCCTGCATAGATGAATTCGAATTAACCTTGATATATGGAATTATGCAACTACCTGTCATTTTCGTTTCCCTTGAGCAGAACCCAAGGTTGTGTTGATTGTATGTATAAATTACCATGCCTAGATATAGAAAGGACTTTCATGATACCATCACGAAGTTTCACCGAACTGAAGCACGAATCAAAATCGCATAAGTCAGACGCGATTTGTGCTAATAATGCTTTGTCCTGTTCCTCGAGGTACATATTTGGTACTACACCATCAAAGTACTTGGATAAAAAAATTAATGCACGGTTCACAAAATTACCCAAATTATTTAGAAGCTCCGTATTGACCTGAAATATGTCAGAATTTATAATTTACGGACTCTGGAGTCAACTTTTGAAATTTCCACCGCAGTTATTAGATGGTCACGATATTTTAATAAGCATTTGCTATTTAAAAATTGTTACCTGTCCGGTAAAACATTATCCGAATGCAACTGCAATAAACTAGATGGTCACGATATTTTAATAAGCATTTGCTATTTAAAAATTGTTACCTGTCCGGTAAAACATTATCCGAATGCAACTGCAATAAACTTTGAATATGATGGTTCTGCTAATTCAGAGAAAAATAATTGCAAAACTAACACCTTTAATGCAAAATCATCCCAGGAAAACGAAGTGTCTTGTGTTTCGGGGCGAATGTATAACAAGTAAAATCGCCAAATATCGGCACCAATCCCAGTTTCTGCAACCATATCGCCAAAAACTCCTGTACCACGCGATCTGAATATCAACATTCATCAACCAAATCAGAGCGAAAATTTGTGAGAAATTCGAACAAGTGTAAACTTCGGAAATCTCAAAAATTAACGCAAATAGTGATTCTCAAGGATATGCGAGAGAGAAAGACCTGAAATTTTAATCATAGCGCGGCTTCCTTGAAATGATAACACAATTTCTTTATTACAGAAATTTCGTCCCCACCCAGGAAGTGGTTATTTACATTTGCCAGCCAATTATCATCGTATTACTAACTAGAAAGTATGAAATATGAATGTAAAACCATACTTGCTAAACTTTGTAGACTCATAATTCAGATATTCCGTTGCGCATAGATGATTCACTATGGTGTATTTATCACCGGTACCAATTTGTGTAGCAGGAAACATAACAGCGTGGAAAGCAACATTGTCATAAAAAGAAAAAACAAATAAGTTTAGGACAAAAAGAGAAAATTCAAAATAACCAATGCAGAAACCAATGAATGTGAAAGTACAGAATGGGACAATCGGAAGTATAAATAATCAGTTAACTCAATACACCTCAGCTTGAACGTCATTCAGAGCACTATTTTCTATCCTTTTATCAAACCAAAATGTGAATCTTTAAAACTCACTTTCCCAATAAAATTATAAAGATCGACAATATTTGGGTTTTTCCACCACTGTGACCAGCCTTTTCCTAAGTATTCTTTAGTAATTGATAAATAACCGATTGGAGCATCAAACCAAACATAAAATACCTGAAACAATGATTTTACCAAGTACATCACATTTGATTTTTCATTTTTAATCAACAAAATATATCACCATGGCAAAAAAATTATTGATTTGGAAGTGCGAAAAATTTTTAATGGTAGCATCGGTGCCAATTTAAAATGCTTTTTTTTTTAAGGAGAAGAAGATAATTCCTCTGCAGATTTCACCATCCACTTACAACAATTCTGCATTCTGACAAGCTGCAGAACAAATCCACTAAAGAAATAAATAACAGCCACTGCGAGAAATGTTATATTATGCAATTGAAATTTAATAATTTGACTTAGTTAAGCAACAGTTGAATACCTTGTTGGCGAAATTATCGAGTGGGACGGGTACACCCCACTTCAAATCTCGAGTTATACAGCGCCTTTCCAAACCACCTTTCAGCCAACTTTTCGCAATTGATATAGCATTTGCTGACCATTGATTTTTCCCCGAATTAAGCTGCTTATTTAAATGCTTTTCTACTTCACCCTGGAAAAAAAATAATTTAATTATCTTTTTAATTACAATTATAACTTCGAAGCTACATTTAAAACCGAGTTTCCGAAAAGCTAAGCTCTATGGTGCTCTGGACATTTGCCTAATAAATTTTATCTAAAAGTAAAAAATAAAATGAAAACTGCTACTTGTGAGAAAATGAATTCAAAACATACTGCTAATTTATTTAAACAAAGAAAAATGTGATTTGATGGTTTCACAGCAGGCGTTGCCTTGCATAAGTGACATCGAGGATTTATTAACTCAACGGCATTTATTAATTTCCCACAGCCATCACACTGATCTCCACGTGCATCATCAAAATGACAGTACGGACATTCGCCATATACAAAACGATCTGCCAAAAACCTAAAAAGAAAATTTTTCCAATGTAAGCAGTACAAGGGAAATTCTAGAACTATCAGACAGTATTACGAAAATCCTGCTAAATTAGTTTAACATGTTGTACCGAATTTCTATACAAAAAAAGAATATCGGAGCAGCACAATATTCTAAAATCAGGCAACTACGATTCTAAAGAAGCAAACGAGTAAAACATCTTCTCTGCCAATAAAATATCAGTACAGGTTTACTTTACCGTCCTCACTTGATTTTAAATAAATCCAATCAACAATTTCTTCAGAAACAAAAAAAGAGCACAAGGATGAACACAACTTATTTCAATTTACTTCAGTTCATAGTTTATGAAAATATATCACCTTTTACAATTATCACAATGCAATTGATTAACGATATCAGTTGAAGTGAAACCATTTTTATGAAGTTTGAGAAAAATTTCTTGTGTAAGTCTGAAAACACACAGAAAAAAAGATTACACAAAGGAAATAGTTCGTCATATTTTTTAAGCAAAAAAATTTTTATATCTCATTAGTAAAACTTTCATGATCCTATATCAATAAAACAAAGCTGAGCAATAGTTCTGTAGGACGTGGATGCTCAACTACTTATTCGAGTTAGAATCGAATCAAGCTTCTGTTGAAATCTGACTACAACAAAATAAATGCAACAAAGAGGTAACAAAAATTCAAAATGTATAAGGAATGTGAACAGAAATGTGAACTGACATACAACCCATTATTAATAATGGATAATATGAACTGGCATTAACTATCCAGTATCCCAGCTCATTGACTTAATCACTTGTTTATACACTTACTCTGTCTGATGTTCCGTAGTTGTCCGACCAAAATAGTCAAAATCTATATTGAACCACTTATAGATCTTTGTGTGTATCGCATGATACTTATCACATATTTGGCGTGGTGTTAAACCTTCCTGTAATGCTTTTGTTTCTGTAGCTGTACCGTATTCATCCGTACCAGAAATGAATAAACGGCGCCAGCCTTTCAGGTAACAGTATCTGAAATCGAATTTATTATTATATTTTTTAAATTTCGCATATCGCCTAAAGCCTTTGCTTTCTTAAAAAAGCAAGAAAGGTAATCTTAATATTAATATTGATTATCATTAAGCCTTAGTATTGATTAGCTTTAATATTGATTCGCGGTTAAAACGCGAAAGTTAGAAAAGTACAATGAAATTTATTTCAAAGCTTAATATGAAAATACTACCGAAAATATAGTTTATTTGTAATCAAATAACGACAGATTAAAAACTTTTTCAAAGATAAAAATTTATAAACAGAACCTTGAAAAAGCATCAGCACTCAAAGCACATCCAATGATATTGCCCAAATGCGGCACATTATTAACATAAGGTAAGGCAGATGTTATCAAGACGTTTTTTTCACCTTCTTTCGGCAGCCTGAAAAAAATTGATATTTCAGTTTGTCATCGTTCATATTCGACAGTGTAAATGAAGAAAAATTCTTATAAAAACTTATGATCCTGTTAGATGCCATACAGTATGGAATTTAAAGTAATACTGTTATTTGAACAAGTGAATTCAAGACACAGCAAGATAATTCTGAAACAAGAAAAAAAGGAAAATGTTCGAGAAAACATACTTCTCGGATTTATCAACGGATCGTACATATTCCGGATTTCGAAACCACGTTTTCTCAAAATCCATTTGAATTCACCGGATGATGAGGTATTTTTTCCGCACCTAAAATGGTAAAATCTAATTCTTGCAAACTGAACAAAGCTATTATTACAAATCGTTCACATATCACAGCTAAGACTGTATGAAAGAATCTTTGGCGCCTGTCTCGCATATTTTGAGCGTACCTTTAATAATTTAGGTCCCGGTACATCTCTTATAAGCGTTCTAGTACTATTCTCTGTATCCAGTTGCGTGCGTTATTGCTCTTTATTACAGTATAAAAATAAATGCTTCGAACAGAAAATATATGATTTGGCTAAAATTAAGGAAAGAGAATGCAACAAAAAATGAGTCAAATGATATATAAAAGTGGACAGCTCAGTCACCCGAAACTAATACGTCATTTCATGCAAGTCAAAAATGCAATAAGCAGCTGTATTATCATAACAGAGTATTATGATAGTATTATCATAATAAATAGATTAATATGATAAAACATGCATTATCACGATAAATCGCTGTTTTATACTGCATATTGCAACTGAAACAAATCGTTTTCACACTTTGAACAATTGCTATTTACTTATAGATTCTTCCTTCTCTTTTTTTAATCTCGCCAAGCTCCCAATGGCCGCAAGTATTTTACCATTTCAAAAAATCTTTTTCTTACGCAATCACTTCAATCTTAATCGGAATAAAATCGGAAAAAAAATCGGATCGGATCGGAAGATCTTAATCGAAAAAAAAACGAATATGGAAAGGAAGTGGAATGATTATATTTCTGGGATAATAATCAAGACGTCAACATAGACCACAAGGCTGTTAAAAATGTTAATTAGTGCATAGTCTGTGAAATATTATGGGACCAAATTATGACAAACAGACCCATTATGAAAATTTCAATCCATCGAGGATTTGTTTAATATGATATGAATTGAGTGCTTGTTGGATTAGCGCTTACTTTTTAACGTTTTATAACTATTTTTCAAAAGAGAATTATTTAATCACTTCAGCGCTCGCTTTATTTAATTTTAGGTCCTATAAATATCTTTCAAAAGGGAATTATTTAATTTTTCTAAATTTATAATCTGGAATTTTGAGTCAAAAATTTATGATCTGGAATTTTAATTTATGTTCTGGAATTCATTTTATGATCTGGAATTTTAATTTATGTTCTGGAATTTTAATTTATGATCTGAAATTCATTTTATGATCCGGAATTTTAAATTGACTCTTCTCTTTGACTCCTTTATTGACTCTTTTAAATTGACTCTTCTAAAATTGACTAACTCTTTTCGATGCTATTTGTTATGAAATGTTTGAATTTTAAAACGAAAAATCTTAATTGCTTCTTTCTTAATAAACAACTTAATAAGCAAAACATTAAATGGTAAATTTTTCCCCCGAATTTTCTTATTAATAAAATTAGAAAACATAGTAAAGTTTGATATGCAATGCTATGATTCAAAAATAAATTAAATTAACCAAATATTCCGAATAAATACATCCAAAAAAAAATTATAAAAATATAATTAAGTATTTTTAATTTTTAATTTAATTAAAATTTTATTATTAGGCATTTGAAAAGAAAGCATTTAAAAATTAAAAATTATTTCTCTTTCTTTTTAATTCCCTGTTTTACCTAAAATAAAATATAATTACGATATAATTAAGATATAAATTAAGATATAAAAATATAATTATGTATTTTTCAATTTTTATTTCAATTAAAATTTTATTTTTTTAGTCATTTAAAAACAAAGGATTTAAAAATTAAAAATTATTTTTTGTTTCATTTCAATTACCTAAATTTTTCCCTAATTCCAAAATGTCCAAATGTGTATTTTCGCTACAATCAATATATGCAACTGGAATTGTATGCAATTTTTGAAGTGCCAAATAAACATTTATTCAAACTTTTTAAATATGAAAAAATCGAAAACTATAATTATGATTTCTAGTTTATTATTATTATTATTATTATTATGCTATTACTATTGTATATGCTAAAATCAAATTTAATTTATTGTCTAAATTCTTTTCATTCTTTCAATTTACAGTATAGAAATATTTATCTAAACAGGAATACGATAGAAATCATATAAAAGAGTTAAACAAACTTTTAATGCATTTAACAGGTTTTCATCACTTATAAGAAATTCACTTGAGATATTTGAGATAATCAAAAAGAAATTTTATATAATAATTGTTAAGTTATATTAATCAATAAAATCAATAAAATATATATATATATATATATTAGATAATAATTCTTAAATTATATTAATCAATAAAAAATATATATATATGTATAACATAGTAATAAGTTATATTAATCAAAAGGAAAATATATAATAAAGTATCAAAAAATATTCGGTGAAAACAAAAATTTTTCTGAAATCGGATCAGGAATAAATTATGATATCAAAAAAAAAGGATTTTAAAAACAGATTAGGATAAAATTGTTCATCTATCATAATTTTTATGAAATATATAAATTATAACAAAATGCATAATTTATCATGAAAAATGATAAAATGATAAGGAAATTTCGAGATTATCATAAATTGCATAAATTATCATGAGAAATGATAAAATCGAAATTATGATAAATTGCATAAATTACCATAAAAAATGATAAATGATAAGGAAATTTCGTGATTATCATAAATTGCATAAATTATCCATAAACAGTGATAAATGATAAGGAAATTTCAAGATTATCACAACTTGCATAAATTATCATGAGAAATGATAAAATTGAGATTATGATAAATTGCATAAATTACCATAAAAAATGATAAATGATAAGGAAATTTCGTGATTATCATAAATTGCATAAATTATCCATAAACAGTGATAAATGATAAGGAAATTTCAAGATTATCACAACTTGCATAAATTATCATGAGAAATGATAAAATTGAGATTATCATAAATTGCATAAATTGTTCATAAATAACAAAAATTAAACTATTATGATATTTTATATGCTAAAAAAAGAATTATATTTACATTGTAAAATTTCATGCAAAATTTTTACAAAATGATAATTTTTAATTTCGGAATTAAAAAATGATATAAAATGAAAAAATTAAATGATTGGAAATTATTGTTGTTATTTGTCATAAAACGTTGCACATCGGAATCAAATGAAAGGGTTGAAATTCATTTCGTTATTGTAATATTCATAATTCTTTATCGTTTTTCTGAAATATCACTAATATTGTTTTAATTTTAGTTTTATATAATTGATAAAATAGGAATGTATATCAAATTAGAGATAATTAATTTATATAATAATTAAATTTTTGTTTTAAAACTTCAACAAATCTTTTTTATTTAAATTTATTTTCAATGCTTCTGTCTTCTAAATTTTTTTAAAAACAATAATATCTTCATTACGGTTGCCATACCTATCGTTATTCTTATATAAGTTTATTACCATGAATGTTAATTAAAATTTTATAACACTACGCCTGAGTTGTCATTACTACCACTATCATATCTGTATTAATTCGGCTGATTTATCATTACTACCACTATCATATCTATATTAATTCGGCTGATTTATCATTACTACCATTATCATATCTGTACTAATTCGGCTGATTTATCATTACTACCACTATCATATCTATACTAATTCGGCATATCTATCGCCATTCTCATATAAGTTTATTGCCATAAATGTTAATTAAAATTTCATAATACTATGGCTGAGTTACCATTACTACTACTATCATATCTATACTAATTCGGCTGATTTATCATTACTACCACTATCTGCACTAATTTTCAACGATCATCTTCTTCTTTCCCACTTTTCATTTTCCACTATTTTTAATTGCTCTATCATGAAATTCTCATTATTTAAATAAATCAGAATTTTTCTTACTAATCATGAAATTTCCAAAATTCTTATTGTATTTAAAAAGAATTAAATAATCTAATTTTATTTTGAGGAAAAAGAAAAATCAAATTTTTTTTAGTTCGAAGAGGAAAACTCGAGGAAAAGGTGAAACAGATGCAAATCCTCAACAACTTAATGTTGCTAAATGCCAGGCTAATGCTCGTACANAATAATCTAATTTTATTTTGAGGAAAAAGAAAAATCAAATTTTTTTTAGTTCGAAGAGGAAAACTCGAGGAAAAGGTGAAACAGATGCAAATCCTCAACAACTTAATGTTGCTAAATGCCAGGCTAATGCTCGTACAGAAGTAATAATTTGTAATTTTTAGGTATTTCTAAAGTAGTTAAGTGCTTTTATGCTTTCGGAATATTTTATGAAAAGGTAATTAATATTCGAAATAGGTAGATAATAGAATTAATAAATATCTTTTAATAAGTTAATGATATTATCAAATTAAATATAAAATATGAATAAAAATTTGTAATCATTGAGTTAAGTTTTTAAAAGCTAAAATTTACAACGTTCATAATATCATAATTATTTAGTTATCAGGTAAGAGTTAATTTGTTTAATTTTAATTGCTTTAATATATTTACTACGATTAAATTATAAAATATAATTAAACAAAAAATTAACTCTTAGCTTTAATCAACCGATCAATTAAAATGACAATGTATTAAATACATGGAAGTAATTAAAATTAAAACAATGTCTTCTAATTATTGCTTAAATTTATAAAAAAAAAAATTTACAATCATATTAATATTAAATTTAGGTTGAACGATGGGTTCGACGAGCATTGGATAAAGGAGTTAGTGGATTACGTGAGGAATTTTTAAGTTTGAAACGCTATACTCCAGAAGGTATGACTACGAATGCATTTCAAGGCACTTTTGAAGCAGGAAAATCACGATATAAAGATGTCCCATGTCAAGATAAATGTCGTGTTATACTACGATGGCCTGGTGTTAAAGATGATTTCATTCATGCAAATTACATTGCAACACCAATTAATGAGAAACGCTTCATTTGCACTCAGGTATGAAAATTATTTAAGCAATAATTAGCAATCAATAATTTAAAATAATTTCAACAAAATTTTTCAATTCTTTTTAAATATGAAATTTACAAAAAATTTTCTAATATTTTTTAAAATTAATTCCAAATTAAAAAAACTAAAATTAATTAATTATTCTTTTGATGTAAATAAATTATTTGTTAATTATTTTTTGCAATTAATTATTCTTTTGATGTAAATAAATTTTCAAAACTTCTACTAAATATATTTATTATTACATCCTTTTCCTCCTTCCACCTACCAGAAGTAATTAAAACATTTTTAATTAGGCTAAAGATAATGTGACTATTTTGGGCAAAAATTGTTTTAGTTATATAATAATCACTTTTCGCAACAGTTATATATTCATTTAAATTAATTATAACTTTATTTAATTATAAAATTCTATTTAAATGAATACATTTAAGGGTCCAATGCCAAATAGTGTGGTCGATTTTTGGCATATGGTTATACAAGAGGAAAGTGATAGTATCGTGATGTTGACAAATATAATTGAGAAAGGAATGAATAAATGTGAACAATATTGGCCTAATGATGCTGGACAAACAGCCTCATTTGGCGACATTACAGTTTCAAATATAGGGGTATTATATTATAAATTACTATGATATCATGTTACTATATTAAATTAGATTAATGTGCTTGTAAACATGTAATTAGATAAGCTTACAGATTCTTCATTATCATACGATTTCAGTAATAGAATTTCAAATATTCTTATTTATTCATTAAGGGTAATCATGATATTATATTATCGTTAAAAATTAATGATAGAAATGGATAGTAGTAAGAAAAATCTTATGTACGATAGGAGTACCATAGTATTATAATTCATGATTAACATTATCACTTATCACTTATTATCACTTATTTCATTTTTTTATCATTTCAATGTTTTTTTAAAAGAAACATTCCTTACTAATCATTTATTTAAATATTTAATTTATTAGTAATTGGTCGTAAATTCAATAATTTTTATCATTTTAATTGAAATTATATTTTCAATCATTATTTTTGTTCATCTCAAATTTCACCTAAAATATCATCAAACTGTAAAATTCAAACATCCTTGAATTATTGATATACATCGAAATACAGTTAATTTAGGTACGATCACTGGCACCAGATGAAACAACTGTACGAGTTTGTCTTTTGAAAGTTCAATGGAAGGAAAGTGGTCATGATAAAAGTCGTGAAATACGTCATTATCAGTGGATTAATTGGCCAGATCGTGGTGTACCACCATGTCGACTTACTTCAATGGTATGCAAATTAATAATTAATTTTCTAATAAATTGCAATTTACAATTTACAAAATTATCAAATGTAATTTCAATAGGTTCTTTTATCGAGTATTCGCGGTACCAAGAAACCAATAGTGGTACATTGCTCTGCTGGTATTGGTAGAACCGGTGCAATTGTAGCAATTGAGTATATTCTGGAGAAACTTCAGCAAGGTATAGCATGTGAATCAATGGATGAAATTCTGAAGGAGCTTCGAAATCAACGACCATTTACCATACAAAATGATATGGTATCTATTGCTAGAAATGTAATTAAAGCTATTGTAGGAAAACAAAGAATATCATTTTAAAATTTCTATAGGTATGAATGAATAGTTAGAAGTTAATTATTGATTTTTTTTCTTGAATTTTTCAATTCTATTTTCATTCGAGACAAACTTTACATGTGAAAGTAATACAAATGGATTTAAATTTTTATGTATTCGATATCAACTACTAATTATCATCATATTTAAGCATCAAACAAATCATTTTATTGACAAATAATAAATGTGATAGATTTTATCACTTTGATATTGGATAGTATTGCATTTTATCACTTTGATGCACGGTAATAATTATGGTTTGATCACAATTTTCAGCAATATCTCTATGTGCATCGAGTAATGCTATTTTATTTCATTGATAAATATAAAGTTTTTGCTGACAATGATGATTTGATGGCGAAATATAAGCAATTCGTTGCTGATTATGATAAAATTATGAAATGAAAATAAAGGACAAAATTAATTATTTCGATGAAATGAGTAAAATTGTATATTTTATCAAATTGTATTCGTTGCATGCAAATAATCAAACGAAGTTAAATAATAAAAAATTTTTAAACTTGTATAGTTTCATTTATCATGAAAAATTTCTATTCAGTTAAATTATCACACTAACGGATAATATGAGATAGTTTATTGATAAAAAATATTGTTATCAAAAAAATTCTGGAAAAGCTGCAAAAGGATAATTGTAATTTGAAAGCTGAAAATTTCTTTATTAAGCAATATAAGCAAAAAGAAATCCTGATATAGTTGAATAATTTTAAAATTCAAAACTTCTTTATTAAGCAATCTAAGGAATAATAAATCCTGATATAGTTAAATATTTTTAAAATCAATAACTTCTTTATAAGCAATATAAGGAATAATAAATCCTGATATAGTTAAATATTTTTTAAACTAATAGCTTCTTTATTAAGCAATCTAAGGAATAATAAATCCTGATATAGTTAAATAATTTTAAAACTAATAACTTCTTTATTAAGCAATCTAAGGAATAATAAATCCTGATATAGTTAAATAATTTTAAAACTAATAATTTCTTCATTAAGCAATATACGAAAAAGAAATCCTGATATAGTTGAATAATAATGTTTTTAAAACCGGAAAAAAATTATGCATCACTGAATAAATATAATAAACTATGTAATTGGAATAGTTGTGAATGAATAACTTGACGATAATTGAATGGTTATGCAAATATTGAAGAATATAATTAATGAACGGTTATATTTACCTAAAACTTTTCATCTGTTTTACATTTAAATATTACAAATTCCTAACATGCTTTTATAATTCGTCATCATTCAGCTTATTGCAATATATTAAAATAATTAAATCAAAAAATGCAATGGAAAAAAGAAATGTAAAATTTTTAATTAATTAATCTCCAATTAGTTTAATCAATATGCAATTAGTAGTAATAAACTGTTAATATAGATATACTAATTGATAAATAATATTTATTCAAAAAGGAGAACGATTATCATTATTTGTGCATAATTACTACAAAAATTATGAATGATTATAATTAAAGTATAAATTGTATTCATGATTGCGATTAATTAAAGTATGAATAGTTACCATGATTATAATTAAGGTATGAACGGTATTTGCTTGAACAAAATTATGAGTATGAGTAGTATTTGTAAAGTATGAGTAGTATTTGCATTGTTAATCATGATCAATTATTTCAAAGATTTTAAATATATCCATGAACTGTTAAAATAAATTTCCGACGAACAAAATTTATGCTGTGAAATTCATTGATTTCAATTGATAACAGATAAGGTTGTATTTGAATTATAATTATTATCAAATAAGTTATGATGTTATCGGTTAGTATAATCAATGGTTGCCTATAATATGAGCAATTATGAATTGAATACAAATAATTTATTTGATGAATCAGGAAGTTTTAAATATTTGAGTCGAAATGAATCATATTGAACAAATTATCATTTTACACAATTTAAAGGATGTTGAAAATTGATGAATCATTTGTAGTTATTTTTGCGCTGTAAAAAAAAAGGCGAATTGCCTTGTCGTAAATATTTAATAAATGTAAAAGTAATAATTGCCAAGGTATATCGGTTGTTCATTTTTATGAAGTGCAATACAGAATTAAATGATTATGGTAATTTAAAAAATTTAATCTTTAATTAAGTTTAATTTATTCCTATACTAATTAAGTTTTACTTATTCCTAAACCAATTAAGTTTAATTAATTCCTATACTAATTAAGTTTAATTTGTTCCTATACTAATTAAGTTTAACTTATTCCTATACCAATTAAGTTTAATTTATTCCTATACTAATTAAGTTTAACTTATTCCTATACTAATTAAGTTTAATTTATTCCTGTACTAATCAAGTTTAACTTGTTCCTATACTAATTAAGTTTAATTTGTTCCTATACTAATTAAGTTTAATTCATTCCTATACTAATTAAATTTAATTTGTTCCTAATACTATTTCCACTTTTTTTCAGTTTGAAAATAGCATAATTTATATGGTATCATTAAGAAATTAATTTATTAATTATCACTGAGAAAAAATTAGCATAAATTTAAAAAACTTTTTTAATTCTAATTAAAAATTCTATTAGCAAAATTTGTTATTTGTGATGGAGAAAAAGAAAGGATGGAAATGATGAAATATTTACTCAATTACATATACTACTATAATGAAACAATAAATAATATGCAACAATATATGGAAATGTCAGGTAATTGCTCCGGTAGGAAGTATCGATGATCGGTGTTACCAGTTGTTACCAGCAGTCTAAGATATACAGAAATTTGATCTGGCAAGAATTGTCCACAATTGTAAATTCTAACAATGATTGTCCACAATTGTAAATTTGCAAATAAAAACAAAATATTCGAAATGTTACAATCAATGTTATTGCAAAACTGCAAAATGATAGCTGCAAAACTGCAAGACTGCAAAACGATGGCATGCAGGAGAATTGATCATTGAATAAATTTGTGCAACATTATCTAAGCCAGCATTTTTTGTTCTTAATTTTTCTTGTTACATATATATGATACAATTTTAGGTATTTAAATAAGAGAGAAATTTTAGCCAAATAAGCTAAAACAATTAATAATTAATTTCGGAATTAATTGAAGGAAAAATTTTACCATTAAATAACTAATTGTCTTTTATATTTAATAATTAATTTGCTTCGTACTAAAAAACAGAACTTTACAATTGTAAATTTGAATTTAAATAATTAAGAAAAAATAATTAGCTTTTTTTAAACACAATATATTATAATCAAACATATATAATTTCCTTTTTTTTATAGCCTAAAATAGATTAACTGAAGAAAGTTTTGAAATAATTACTGTATATCACAATAGTCTGAGAATTTCAAAAATGCAAAATTAATTTATTTCAAATTTTGGAAATGTAAAAATATGCTGAAAACTTTTTACCTAAATTTAATAAACAAACAGGTAAAATTTTTCTTACCTTTTTATTAATCCATTATTTCAATAGTTGAAGTTTTATCAGTATTCAAAATTGATAAAACTGCAACTGTTGAAACTTCTTTTTCTCGCCCTTTTTCACTTCCTGAAATTGATTACGGAAAAAAGGAAGTACAAATGCATATTTCCGGATGATTAATTTGTCAACTTAACGGTTATTGTTTGACTTACTACTTATATATGTTCGAATTTTTCACTTTATGTAACAGATTATCGGAAAAGAAGAAACGCAAAATGCATAATTCCGGATGATTAATTTGTCAATTTACCAGTTATTGTTTAACTTACTTCTAAAACTTACTTCTTTTATATGTTTGAATTTTTCACTCTATGAAATGGATTACGGAAAAAAAGAAGTACAAATGCATATTTTCGGATGATTAATTTGTTAGTCAATTAACAGTTATTGTTTAACTTACTTCTATAACGTACCACATACATATGTTTGAATTTTTCACTTTGTAAAATAGATTATCGGAAAAAAGGAATTGTAAATGCATATTTCCGGATAATTAATTTGTCAATTTAACGGTTATTGTTTAACTTATTTTTACAACTTACTACTTGCATATGTTTGATTTTTTCACTTTATAAAATGGATTATCGGAAAAAAGGAACTACAAATGGATATTTCCGGATGATTAATTTGTCAATTTAACTTTAACTTTTCCGGGTGGTTAATTTGTCAATTTAACTTTAACTTTTCCGGATGATTAATTTGTCAATTTAACTTTAACTTTTCCGGATGATTAATTTGTCAATTTAACTTTAACATTTCCGGATGATTAATTTGTCAATTTAACTTTAACATTTCCGGATGATTAATTTGTCAATCCAACTTACTACTTCTATAACAATTTTATTTCTTGACTTAACTTCTTTACTTAATCCACTCCTCTAGTTTCCCAATTCTTTTTTCATCTTCAATACAAATTTTCATCAATTCTATCCTTTCTATTTCACTCTTCATCTGGTTATATGTGTTGTTTGTGAATTGAAATAAATTCATAGTTTAGTGTGGAAATTCTTTTACACACATACACACACACACATACACACACACACACAATAAATTCATAGTTTAGTGTGGAAATTCTTTTACACACACACACACACACACATACACACACACACACAATACACACATACACACATACACATACACACATACATACACACACACACATACACACACACAATAAATTCATAGTTTAGTGTGGAAATTCTTTTACACACACACACATACACACACACATACAAACACACACACACAGAATACACACACATACACACACACATACACATTCATATCGAATTGATATATATTGTCAAATATAAATACTAACCAGTTAGCAATAACGAATTTGTAATTTTTTCAATTTTTTCGTCGCCTTCTTTTTTAGTTGCAACCCTGTTAGATTATTTCATTCAAATGGATAATTTTGATAGATTTGAGTTAAATGTTTACATTTAACAGGAAAAGAAAAGAAAAAGAATCATTGAAGTAGTTTTTCCGTTTACCTGAACGAGCTTTTGTTGTTTAAATTTTTTTCAATTATAAAAATAATTTGGGATACCTGAAATGACGAATGAAAAATTATTCTGTTATTGTATTTATTATCTTAATGGAATGAGCAAGAAAAAAAGAAAATGAAATGAAAGAAGGATAGAAAGAAATACAAATAAAAGTCGAAAGATAAATATGAAAATTGGTAACAGATGTGGAAGAAATGATTTGTTAGATGGAAAAAAAAACGAATGTTGAAAATAATTTTTGATGTAATTTGAGGAATAATCAAAAATTGAAATTAGTAATAGTGCTTTCTCTATTTTAATACTTTTTATAATTATGTAATGAATTAATATAATAGCGAATATCAATTGCATATGTATATGTAATGAATTATTATAATAACGAATAACAGCTAAATATGTTTCTGTAATGAATTAATATAATAACGAATATCAACTATATGTGTATATGTAATGAATTATTATAATAATGAATAACAAATACATGTGCATATGTAATGAATTAATATAATAATGAATATCAATTGCATATGTATATGTGATGAATAAATATAATAACGAATATCAATTACATGTGCATATGTAATGAATTAATATGATAACGAATATCAACTACATGTGTATATGTAATGAATTAATATAATAATGAATATCAAATACATGTACATATATAGTGAATAAATATAATAATGAATATCAATTACATATATATATATATATATGTAATGAATAAATATAATGAATATCAATTACATGTGCATATGTAATGAATTAATATGATAACGAATATCAATTACATGTGTATATGTAATGAATTAATATAATAATGAATATCAAATACATATGTATATGTAACGAATAAATATAATAACGAATATCAATTTGGGATACCTGAATGACGATAAAATTTATTGTGTTATGATATTATCTTAATGGAAGAGAAAACTTATGTAATCAATTAATATAATAATGAATATCAATTACATACGTATATGTAATGAATGAATATAATGACGAATATCAATTACACATGTGTATGTAATAAATTAATATAATAAAGAACAATTACATATGTAGCTGTAATGAACAAATATAATAACGAAGAAATGCAAAATGCTTTTTTCTTTAATATTTAATTATTAAAAACTTAATAATTCTCATTACCAATTAAAAATTATTTGATATATTATTAATGAAAATATATGAAATGTTTTGTAAAAAATTTCTTTTTTGTTACAATTAAAATAATTAATTATTATTGCAATAATATATCTTAAATATAAAATATTTCAAAATTGAATGAAATCAAATTTTAATTAATTTTTATAATAATTAAATCGATAATTTTTAAAACAATAAATAAATGTATTTTCTTACAAATTGATAATTAAATTATTCCAACATTTTTTTTGAATTTTTTTTTATCAAAAATTTTTACAAGCATTTTACCTGTATTTTCATTAATAATATAACAATTATTACCTATTATAAATGATAATATTAATTTCCGATTTTTATATTTTGTATAATTTTAATTTATTTTTCTTATTATAAACGATGAATCAACAATGACTTATAAAATGATAAATCAAAATATTTCTTCACAAGTACTTTTCTACTTATCGATACATTAGTAATTAAGTAAGCATACAAGTTAATGCTTTTTAATGTTAAAGAAATTGACAAGATTGGTCTCGTTTTTTTTTTCCCATCAATTATCAAAATATTATTGACAGCCATCATCATCATCATCATCATCATCATCATTATCTACCTCAACATCAATTTTAAGTATTAGTTTTATTTCATCAATGATCAAAATATTTTTGACAGTCATCACCGTCATCATCATCATCATCATCATCTTTAACATCAACAACAATTGTAAGTATTGGTTTTATTTCATTAATCATCAAAATATTATTGACAGTCATCACCGTCATCTTTAACATCAACAAACAGTTGTAAGTATTTGAGGATTGAATTCATTCCATTACAGTTTGCACTCTATTCTATAATAGCAAGTTAAAAGTACTAATAGCAAAAAAAATTGAAGTTTAAATGGAAACTTGAAGTTCCAGTTTTGTCATCAAACAATGATTAGCACTAAGTTTGTCTACAGTTTGTCTACAACAACATTTCCTCTTTTTCCCTTTCCACAACATTTGATCATTTCAAATATATAAAATTTCTTTCGCTCTTAACCATCCATTCTTTCTATGATTTGTATACTTATGTATTTTGTATTTATTTTATGCAATGGGGTGTGTACTAATTTTTATCGTTCATTTGAATTTACACAACAATTAAAATTTAGTATATAAATAGTTATGAAATCAATCATTTATTTCTTCACTGATAAATTCGAATTCTAATAGTACCAATTTATTTATAATATCAGAATTTGAATTTTGATACAATCAAATTTCTTGCTTTTGTCTTCTTCATTATATGTTTGTTTGTTTATTTTTCCTTTCAAATTTTTGTTTACATGATTTACGGGGAAAAAAATATGCAACTTGTAATTTAGTAAATAATTAGTTACGAAATCAATCATTTATTTCTTCACTGATAAATTAGAATTCTGATATTATAATTTATAATATCCAATTTTGATATAATTCCAATTTTGATATAGCCAAATTCCTTGCTTTTGTCTTCCTCATTATATGTTTGTTGGTTTATTTTTCTTTTCTGATTTTTGTTTACATGATTTACAGAGAAAAATATGCAATTTGTTATTTAGTAAATAAATAGTTATCACTTATTTCTTCACTGATAAATTAGAATTCTGATATTATAATTTATAATATCAGAATTCTAATTTTGATATAATCAAATTTCTTGCTTTTGTCTTTTCTTCTCTAATTTTTGTTTATATGATTTACAGGGAAAAATATGCGATTTGCTATTTGATATATAAATAGTTATGAAATCAATCATTTATTTCTTCACTGATATTTTTTTAATAAGTAATCATATCAATCCTAGAATACTAATTTTGTTATAATCAAATTTCTTGCTTTTGTCTTCTCATTATATGTTTGTTTGTTTATTTTTCTTTTCTGATTTTTGTTTACAGGATTTACGGGGAAAAATATGCAATTTGTAATCATTTCATTAATTTTCGTCATGGCTTCGGCTAGTAAAATTGTAAGTTTTGAAAAACAGGAACCATTTCTTTTTAATTTTAAAATTAATTTTAATTAGGAGAAAATAATAATTTTTCACTAAGAGAAAATTAGATGAAAAAGAATTCCTTGGATAATAATTATTTATTAATTATAACATAAGTATGATGATAGATTTTCTCTTAAAAGCTTTTTTCCTTCATTTTTTCAACGATTTTGATAGGATGTATCATCTAATACAAATATCCATTACAAGATTGTCAAATAGTATGATAATAGTATGATGTGTATAACAGTATGATAAAAATATATTAGATTGGATTAAATGTTTTGGATAGTTTTTGATAAATTGGAAGATATTACAAAATAGGATAAATTTTAAATTGCAAAATATAAATTTGTTTTTAAATTGATTAATTAATTTTTAAATTGATTTCTAAAATTTGCTAAATTGGAAGAAATTGCAAAATAATATTGGCTAATTTTATTAGTGTAATTCAGTGGAGCAAACAGTTTAAAATTATTGGGACAATATTAGCTGTCACCAATTTACAATTTGTCTTATGTTATTATAAACGTTAATGATTTAATAACTTCTTTATATAAAATTTTGTTAAATTCATCACCCGCTTCTATCGTTTCTGCAATTACTCTTCGTCGTTTCCACAACCTACAGTATTCAAACACTATCGCTCTGTTGATAATTCTTGATTACTGTAGGTGGTAAACTGCAAACAATAATTGAATCATTTATCATTAATTTTCATTGTCTCTGATTTCATCTCTTCTCAAATTAACAACCTACAGTATTAAATATTACTGATCGAATAATAATTCTGCAGAATATTAGGTAGTAAATTCCAAACAATAATTGAATTATTACAGTATCAAACAAAACTTCATTAATATAAGATCTATCACTTTTATCTTCTACCATATTTTTCATATTTCTAAGTTTAATTTGAAATTATCATTTGAAAAAAAGAATAGAAAAATTATCATTTTTCTTATCTCTAAATTATCAAACGTGAAATAGTAAAAGAGAAATTATTTAAATCTTTTAATTTTGTTAAACTTTAAATGCAAAAATAAAAAGTAATAATTGCAGCAGATGGAAAAGAATACCGAAATGTCACATAAAATTGTTAAACGTTGCTCATGTCAACCATCATCATGCACATGTTCACCAATTCAAATTATGTTGCAAATTTGCTCTTGCCCTTGCACATGTACACCATCTGTTCAACCAATATATCCTCCTCCTGTAACCTATACGATACCAACGACAACGTTACCTCCATTTACACCACCGCCGCCAATTATACCAGCTCAATCTCCCTACTGCTGTGTTTTATTCATTTGCATCAGTTGCAGCTCTTATGGTAGCACATATAGCCAAGTAAAATTTTTAATATTTTATAGCATAATTAATTTACTTTTAAAATTGTTTAATAAATTAGGAATATAATTAGCTGTTTCAAATTTGATCACTTGTTTAATTAATTTAGCTAATAATAATAATAATATTAATAATAAATTATTAATAATAACAAGCAACAATAATAACAATATTAATGTTATTATAGTAATAATAATAATAAGAAGAAATAATAACAATAATAATATTATTAATAGTAATAATAATAATAATAGTAATAACAATACTAATAATAAGCAATGATATTAATATTAATAATAGTAATAATAAAAACAATAATAATAATAGCATTAATAGTAATACTAATAATACTAATTAATAATAATAAATAGTAATAATAATAAAACAATAATATAGCACTAATAATAGTTGTTATAAAAAATATTACATTATCGAATAATATTGTTCCGTTCTCGTAATATTCTTTTCTAACTGTATAAAACAATAACTGATATATTTCATTTAATTTCAGCCACAACAATTACCACAATATAGGCCACCATCCTATTTACCACCTCCTTCCAGTTATAACTATCCACAACAACTTCCTTCAACTTATCGTTATCAAATTCCTGCTCAACAAACTCCATACGCTTATCCAACAGCAACATCAACATGTTCCATTGGTTTTACTATATGCTTTAGTGGAAAATTTTGCTGCCGAAATTAATCAATTTCTACCAGAATTTTTAGAATTAATTAAAAATGATTAATTAGACAACTGATATAAATGGTGCTTGAATTCAAAAAAGAAATTCTTTCAATTTCATTTTTAATAGATTTATATTTTATAAATATATTATGCTATATTATTATTTATTTCTTTTTGTTTTAAAATTGATTTTTATTTTAGCAAACTTTTTCTATCTTTTTGCTTTCATATCAAAATGCAAAAAAAAATGACGAATTATTCTTATCATTTTTGCTTCTGATAGACAGTATGAAATTATAATTAAGCTTAATTGATTGTTTTAAAATTAGCAATTTGAAAATAACTTCATAATGCGTTAATTCAATTTATTTCTGCTAAATACAAATATATCATTTGGAAATGAAACATTTCTTAGACTAGCTAAAGTTTGAAATTTGAAATGTAACATTAGACAAATGAAAACACCTCTCTTAGACTAGCTAAAGTTTGAAATTTGAAATATAACAATTTGACTTTAATTTCTAATTTGGAAAATGAAAACATCACTTAGACAATCTAAAGATTGAAATACGATTTGGAAAATTTGAAATGTAACAGGTGACCTTAATTTCTAATTTGGAAAATGAAAACATTACTTAGACTATCTTAAGATTGAAATACGATTTGGAAAATTTGAAATGTAGCAGGTGACATTAATTTCTGATTCTACAATTGTCATATTTTCTCATCATTATCACTTTATTAATTTAAACTTCGAGAAAATCATTCCTATGAATGATATTATCAGCAAACGAATATGACAAATTTATCCGGAGGATAATAAATGAATTAACTTATTATCATATATCATATGTGTAATTGAATACTTGAATTTGATATGTTGCAAAAAAATCAACGAAAAATTTTGCGCTGTCTATTTTGAGACTTAAAAATATGAAAACTCATTTGATCCAAAAGATAAATTGATTTATTAATGAGTGATAAAACTAATCATATCTCAATTAAAAGTGATAAGAATATGAATATATTAATAAGGATATTGAGTGAAAGAAAATTAAATTAAAATAAAATCTATTAAATATTGAAATGATTTCATATTTCTTTTCACTATCAAATTTGAATGTTTAGAAAAGCGGTGTCATCTATTTTATGCAATAGATAAAAGCAAAATTATTTTCGATTAATTATTTCATATATCTTTTTACTATCAAATTTGGATGCTTAGAAAAGTGATCTATCTTTTCACTCATTTTTCAGGTTTTAATTTTTACAAAAATAAAACAATGACACCAAAGCAAATACGAATTCCTTATTTTCATTTCCGATATAATCAATATTAAGTAATCGATATCTGATACAATTCATTTCCTGCTATTATCTGTTTTATTAACATTTTTTCGATACTGCCATCAGATTATCGTAAAGAGTATCACTTAACAACATATTTGAATAAGCCAAAAATGATATATGATATGACTCTATCGTGATTTATTCCACTATGCTAATTACAATACCAAAAATTTTGATATTACTTTCATCGTACTGTAAGCCATTTCATATTAAATATGAATATAACGATATATTGCATTGCCATTATTCGATCATTACAATTACCATTATTTCAAGGGTTAATGCTATCAAAATTGATAAAATTCATTTGAAAATCATTGCTGACAGCTTCTCATTATTGTATTCATTACAATTGATAATGTATTAAGTATATGTCTGTGTGTGTGTCTGTCTGAAAATAAAATAATAAACACAACTTTTAGCAATTTGTCCTTTTAAAGTTATGCTTTAATATTTTGCAAAGGAAATTTTAAAAATATAATTTAAGTAAGATAATATATTAATTGCAATGGAGAAATGCCAAGAAATTGTCAGATATTTTAATTAGAATAGACAAAGGTCATATAAAGGTCACATCCTCTACCTTTTAAACATGCAAAAATTGACAGATAAGCAAATAAACAAAAAATGGGTGGCACAAAGTAATGCAAAATAAATGATAGGATGATAAACTGTTTCGCATAATTAATGAAATTAATATGAAAAACATAAAATATTTGAAAAGAAAGGAAATATTTGAAAATTATTNAAGCAAATAAACAAAAAATGGGTGGCACAAAGTAATGCAAAATAAATGATAGGATGATAAACTGTTTCGCATAATTAATGAAATTAATATGAAAAACATAAAATATTTGAAAAGAAAGGAAATATTTGAAAATTATTCTATTTTTCCGACAATAACTGAAATGTTTACCAAAGAAAAACAATTATCAATCAGTAAAAACAATTAGCAATTATCAATTTCCATTTCACTAATTCATTTTTTAAATTCATTTAATTTGTTTAAGCAAAATTCAATGATTACACAATTGAGTAATATGCTATCAACATATGTTATCGATAAATTATGCTCTATATTGTGACTTACCTTATATTTCAGTTATTGTACACTGATCAAATGCCCAATCAGTAGATCAATTTTCTCTGTTACAATCATATTTTGTCCTTTGACTCTCAATAGTTATAGTTCTCAAGAGAGATGGAGAGAGAGAGAGAGAGAGAGAACAAAAAATATAGTAATAGGATTGAAACTATTATTCCTTTTTTAAATATGTTAATTTTGCAGCAGAATAATTATTATCATTGCTGAAGAGAAATAAATTTCTTTGCATATAATTTCTTAAATATTCAAATATTCTTTTAATATTCAAATATATTTTGAATATTTAAATTCAATAAACATCACATTATAAACATATAAAAGGCGAAGAAAGAATTCAATTAATCAGTTTATGATTGTTTTAACTCCGATACTACTGACTATAACCATAACGGTAAGGGTGACGATTCTCTAGTGGGAAATGGGATTATGGGTACTTCGAGAATTGGTTGGATTGAGGGTAGTCCGGGCTTGGTTGGAAAGAGGGTTATGGCAATAATAATCCAATAATATTTCTAAATATTTGAGTCGTAAGAAGNGACTTACCTTATATTTCAGTTATTGTACACTGATCAAATGCCCAATCAGTAGATCAATTTTCTCTGTTACAATCATATTTTGTCCTTTGACTCTCAATAGTTATAGTTCTCAAGAGAGATGGAGAGAGAGAGAGAGAGAGAGAACAAAAAATATAGTAATAGGATTGAAACTATTATTCCTTTTTTAAATATGTTAATTTTGCAGCAGAATAATTATTATCATTGCTGAAGAGAAATAAATTTCTTTGCATATAATTTCTTAAATATTCAAATATTCTTTTAATATTCAAATATATTTTGAATATTTAAATTCAATAAACATCACATTATAAACATATAAAAGGCGAAGAAAGAATTCAATTAATCAGTTTATGATTGTTTTAACTCCGATACTACTGACTATAACCATAACGGTAAGGGTGACGATTCTCTAGTGGGAAATGGGATTATGGGTACTTCGAGAATTGGTTGGATTGAGGGTAGTCCGGGCTTGGTTGGAAAGAGGGTTATGGCAATAATAATCCAATAATATTTCTAAATATTTGAGTCGTAAGAAGCGTTGTTCGATTCGATATGCCGCGGTACTGGAATAAAATTTGAAGAATTATTTGCAAATTATATTTTTTAGTGAAAATTTCGGCAAAAATTTTTTTTCATTTTTCAACAGATACAATTTTACTGTTTTCCAATATTTGAGTAAAAAATAATTCCCGCTTCAGATTATAACGGGGGAACCGAAAACCCCGATGAAACCGCTGCATGATCATTTAAAGGAGCTGCAGCGTACTGCTTTGGATTACTAATATAAGGAGCTCACACTGGGAAATCGGGCCTTCGCACTACGAATGCTTTTCCTAGTGGAAAAGAAGATGAAGGAAATGGAGAAGAAGAAACTGTGCGAGGGAA